AGATTACCTATCGCCACCTCCCCTCTCGGCAAATATTTTGGGAGGGAATAATTGGCTGGAGTTGAAGTGTGTAGACTGATTTCAGAATCAAATCAGTCTTGGTTCCGCGTGGTGACAATGTTTGCGTTCTAGGTTGGCGCCCCTAGATTGGTCCCATATCGCGCCAGGGCCGAGAACAGTTGTCATCTTCGTCATCGAGGACACTAGTATCCCTCTCAAGTATGCTTTAACCGAGTTTCACTATAGCGATGCTGCATTAACAGGCAATTTTCAGTGCTCACAAGCTTGGCAGTTAAATGGTAAGTTTGCGTAGCAGTTTTGCTTTTCATATTTGTGACCAGCACTCTAAACATCATCGATGATATTTCAAAAATCCATGGGAATTTGATCGTTTTAGTCGTTAGTACCCTACACTTCTTAGAAGGAAGTGTTCTTACGGTTCTCACCATTTTTTCCCTTTTTTTCTTTATGACCGATCTCTTTCACATCTTGACTTCCATTTCCGAGCAATGTCTTATCAGCTTTGTTCGTTCAATAAATACTTACCGTTGCATTTGTAGTGGTGATTGATCATTGCGATATCGTAAAATGAGATTATCGTTGCACCCATAGTGCGCATGAATCTCGACTGCATAGGAGACATTGTAGGAACAGTACTAATCGTACCGCTGAACATGGAAAATGCGAGTATATCACAGATAATACTATCTTAGGTTCAAAAAATGACTACGAGTAGTGTAAATCACTGACTGAATACTGGAATGATGCATCAAGCTTCCGTATTCGTAAGGTGTGTAGTTGAGTGTACGATTTTCCTTGGTGAAGGTGCTCTTCATTTCTTCCTAAAGAACTTTTTCATCCCAGAAAACGTTCAAGTATAATATAGCAATACGACATAACATTGTACGTGCTTCTGTCGTTTCGATGTACCCGACTTTAGGCCCGTCGCGACTCGCGAGACGAGAAGGCAGAGTCGCAGACGGGTCAGCGAACGTGTCGCGGGGCGTACTGTGCGATGTGGAACGTGCTATATGTAGCATTAGGTCGTGAAGAAAAATCTTGCGCTTCTCGACCTCGAACGCAGTATCTCGGCTCATTCGAAACCTTTTTGATTGGAGTAAAGACTGTTAGAATCCACAAACCTCTGCCAATAATAGCTGCGTTGAATCAGCCCGGTCGTGCAGAATACTGGAGCTCTAGAGACGATGAACCCGGCGGAGGTCGTTTCCGCATCATGTTGGGTTTTGAAGCATAACTCTTTGGCAGAAGCTATCCAGGTATCAAGAATGTGACACACTACCAATTGAATGTTTTGGGACTTTCCAGCTCTTCCCGTACAACAAGAAAACACAATGCAAGTGCGATCAGTTTAGGAGGAACCCTCTCAATAGTTTGTGCAAACGTGCTTCAACCAGAACGTTCGACTAATCGTTGGCGTTGTCCAATCTCCGACCACCCTCACAATCTTTAGGGCTCTCGCTATTCTTACAAAAGCTTTTTGAACAATTGCTTCAGACCATATTTATTGCGAATCTCAGCCAAGTGCGTCTATAATATCTTGACCTGCTTCCTCTCCATACTGGCCTGCTTTGAGCTAGAAAAAGGAAATCATGCAAATTTGCTCTTGGAGTATGCCGTATTCAAGGCTTTCAAAAAAGTGATAACCAAATAACGCTCTTACAATGCCGAATCAGTGTTAAATAGAACAGTAGAAGCTCTTTGAAATGGCATATAGAACGCTGATAGCCGCTTGCTCAAACTCAGAACAAAATAAAGCGTTTAAAAAGGAACACTGGAAAGCGCAAGAAATTTCTTCACGGCCTAGTATATTCACTGCTTAACTTGACGCTAAATTGCCATCGCACTCGCTGCAACTCGTCTGCTGACCCGTCTGACTGCCTTCTCGCTGCGCAACGGATCTCCTGTCGAGTACCTTTGTTCCGTGCAAAAGATATTGCAGTGAGAGAAAAACCCTAAGCCCACTGCGAATCCAATCAATTCTTAGAAAGGGTTATTTCATGTTTATGACATTGATGAACAGAACAATTGTAGATTGCAAGCATTCATAAATACTGACGTACTCACTAGCTTACTAGGGAAGAATTTTTCTGCTCAAAGGAAATAATTCACTCGAAAGTTTGCACTATTTCCTCCTCCTGAAGTGGAGATTCGAGAAAAAGCTTTTGGTGGTCTTTGCAGTCCAATTTGTACAACTAGCCGCCTTATTTTCTCGAAATATCTCGACTACATGAGTACACTTGAAGTACACAGATATGAGAGGACCAGCTCACAAGCCGTAGTTTCACAAGGGTTACTCAACGAATTTTCGACAATAACCGGTATAATTTTCGGCCGTAGGAATGGCTAACCTCCACATTGGCCAGGTTGACTTTGATATATGTGTCTCTGTCGTGTCGTACGTATGTATGAACAAAGCCGAGAGCATGCATAAATTCATGGTCCACTGCTCCGATCTGAAAAAATGCTACTTTTAGAGAAGAGGCGTGCGTAATTGTTTTTCATAGTAGAGCCGGATTCTGAGGGATCATTTTCGTTAGTGTTGTTAACACAGCCGTTCTCTCTTCCGAAGTCCGACACGCCATCAAGTCGGTGAAGAATCGTACAGCACCCGGTCTCGACAGGGTTCAAACCGGAACATCTGAAGAATGCACCGCCAGTTATCATCAAAACTCTGGCTCGACTCTTCACGCGCTACCTGTCGGAATGCAAGGTACCCACTCCGTGGAAAACCAGCAGGACCGTGTTGCTGTACAAGAAGGGAGACTTGGACGACATTGGCAACTATCGCCCAATCTGCCTGCTGTCTGTAATCTACAAGCTATTCACTCGAGTCATCCTTAACAGGATCGGCTATAATACATTATACGAAAAGTCGTATACGATGGTCTTCTTCATAACGTTGCTTGAAATCAGAGAGTTGGTACACGTGGTACGAGATAATATGTGGCTTGATTTCTCGACTGCGCCTGTTGGTAAGTCAGGTCTACAATTGAGGCCTAACGGAAAACGAGACGTTTATGAGAAACGGATTGGTTCCTGATGCCCCTTTCACGCCTTCGCCTTTTCTTTATAACATGCAACAAACCGCTCTGATCAAGCGCTCCACCTCCTGAGCAACTTCCCTTTTCTATTCCTGAGAGCTGATTTGAAGGCTAAGTCACATCAGTAACCCACTTGGGCTACCTTGACTGTTCAATACGAAAACTCACGCTATTCCCAAGGCTGGGTAACGACATTATTTGTTCTCCTCCTTTCATTCCAATATGCGATGAACAGGATTCTCCTTGCTGCACCTTTATGCGATTCGGTGCTGTGGCATTCTCGACAAAATTGATGCACGTACGATCATGGAAGTATTTCAGCCTGAGTCTTATGAACACTGCATCGCCTGAAAACAATTTGATTGTGAGCCTGGTGGTCCCCACGAGTGAAGGAATTTCAAGGACG